TCTAACCTTAAAACGAGGTCTGCGACAATCTGCTCTATTCTACGCACATTACCCTAATCCAAAACCTTGGAAAAAAACCTTCTACATAACAACCATAAAACGAGGTTGTCTTAAGGTTTTCAAGCGGGAAAAAAACCTTGAATAAAGCTAGTTCTAAGATGAAAATCATCTTAAATCTACGTAATTATAAGGTTTTCGTTTGCAGCGTTTCGTATGCTCAGCTAAAATCTACCTTGTCATGAGATTTTCATTGACAATGCAATTTAATACTATTGCTAGTGTACGTCAGCTAAAACGTCATTCTGAACGTGACGTCATCACTCCCAAGATTGTATGACGGCGCGTTTCATTATTATTACTAGGTTTTATATTTTACTTCATTATTATTATTAGGTTTTATATTTTTATATTTAGCTTCTCAATCAGAGGAAAATTCTTCTTTTCATCAATTCTGCTCGATTATTTTGGGGAAAATAATCATTTTTTATCCGTCTGACTTACTTTGCAATTAATTAAGGGGAAATTAAAATATCGTTTAATATGAATTTTATTTTTTCATTCAACGATTTGATTAAAGAAAAAACAAAATAAATAGAACATCTAATACTTAAAGAGGGTCTGCGTATTTTTTTTCTCTCTCTTATTCGGAATTTTATGTGGTGTGAGAAGTTTCGATGAGTGTAAAATTCGCTAATGCAGTTTTTTGCATATCAGAGAAAATTTACATGAAATGTCTTCTTTTGTCAAAATAAATAAAATGCAACTGATTATTTATCTGTTACTTAATATGCATGATCTGATAAATGTAGGAAATTTAATGATAACAAAATATTTTTTTAAAAAAATCGTTTAATGTATGTAGAAATACCAAACATATTTTTTTAATACACAGCAACAAATAAATATTATGATTATCATAACAATTAATAAATGACAAGTGCACTAGTAGTGCAAATTAGATACGCCATAATTAAATTAGGTACTTTGTTAATATACAAAAATATTATCCTTATAATAACCACTAGTGAATGACACAAAACACCATAATTAAATCAACTATTTCGTTAATGCATAAACAAATGATATTATAGGTATAATAACCACCAGTAAATACACAACATATTTAACATGAAGGAATTAGCGAAGCAATCTTCCTTCAAATAAATTACTTCCTCGTCAGATATGCCCCTTTCTCTGAAAAATAAGATGAAATTTATGCATATACACATGAATTGCATGTACGTACATAGACACAAAAGTATATTGTACTTACAGGAATGCATGCATACATTATATCCATACAGGTGCATACACACGGGCGTACTCAGTATATAATTATATATATGTGGCTACTTTAAATATCATTGCATGAATAACATTGCTATTAGATAATACATGCATATAGTACATGCACACGTGAGTACATTGTGTGTCATATGCACGTAGAAAGAATAAATTATTTGTACAAAACAAAAAGCAAACCACTTTTAAAAATTTTTCATCTAATGATCGGTTGTTTTTGTTGGTCTATGTCGCACTAACAATGAACAATGAGCTATTGGTGCAGAGTTGGGAAACATTCCTGAGGATGATCCGAAGACATGTCAACACAATTTTGATCCTCTGCAGAGGGAATGGATCGCTTGCTTCGGTGACGACCTGCGCGTGAAGTCGAAAATTTAATGGTTAAAAAGTTTAATTATGATTGATACCGTACACCTTTGCCGGTTGAACAAAGTGATCACCCATCCACACACTGACCGTAGCCAGTGATACTTGACTTCGGTGTTCTAGTGGGAAACGTGTCCTAAAGTTCACTCTACTGCGAGATGATCTAATGATCGGTTATTTACGTTCTAGGACTCAATCTTAAGGGTTCCTAGGATCTCAAATATGTTAATTAATTAATAAATTGTTTAACTTACAATTCAAAATTTTTCAGACTGTCATTGAATAAAGTAACAAAAAATAGTTATTTTGACTAAAACTTATATTTTGCATGGAATTAGCTTTGGACAAACGAATTTTCTAATTGAGTGCAAAAAAATTTTCTATTCACTTAAGAAGCTCTCATGATATAGTCTCATACGTAAAAAGTAATAATAATATTAAGGGGCACAAACTTCCGCTCTTCTGACCATAACTATTGGGACTATTTTTTCCCAGATTACGGCCACCCTTATAATTTGAGAGTCAAAAACCCAATAAACACTAAACAAAAGGTATGTTTTTTCAGAGTATGAAGTACGTTTTTGTGTCTGATTTCGTAACTTAAAATATCATGTGCACTAATTAATTATCATATATGCCATATTCTCGAACCTTTAAGATCGAGTCCTTGAATGTGGAGATACGATGATTAGATAAAAAGTTATTTAGAATGGTCCATTTATTTTTGCGTATCGTATATACGTATAGATACCTTAAGTAGAACATATAAGTGTGCATATTCTTATATACGTTAATTCACATAGATACACACATACATTATATGAATGTTTGCATCTATAATATATATATATATATATGTAAATGTGGGTATATTTGTACGTACGTATGTTTTGTACGTATGTACACAATTTATATATGTTCAATACATGTACGCAAATTAAATTAATCGAAGTGTTCTTCAGAAATCGAATTTTACATAAATAACTCTTTTTAGAATTGGACTACCTAGAAACTATTAGCCCGATTTCATTCGAATTTCTTATTTTGCCTTTAAAATTANTAGATACATACATTATATGAATGTTTGTATATATAATATATATATGTATCCATGTAAATGTGGGTATATTTGTACGTACGTATGTTTGTACGCATGTACACAATTCATATATGTTCAATACATGTACGCATGTATTCATGCTGTATGTGATAACGATGTATGCACTTGCGTATAAACAGGGCTCAAAAAAGGGAAAACCCTGAAAAAGTTTGATCTATTGATCGGATTTCAATCTACTACGACTCGATCTTATTGGTTTGAAGGTCTAACTTTATGAGGGATTCAGTTTCTAGACCCTTAAAATAGGGGAGGGACCATCTGCAAAATACATGCCATCTGCAAAATATGGTATCAAGAGTTTAAGAAGGAGAGCGGTAGAAAGTTTGAATCACTTAATGTTAAAATTTCGTTTTGCGAATTTCGTCTTGTATAACTTTTTAAGCAAATCGAAAATTTTAAATTTAAATAAAATTAATCTAAGTGTTCTTCAGAAATCGAATTTTACATAAATAACTCTTTTTAAAATTGGACTACATAGAAACTATTAGCCCTATTTCATTCGAATTTCTTATTTTGCCTTTAAAATTACTTTAAAAATGATGAGGAAAAAATTCTATATTTTGCAATGCTAAGTGTTTTCGACAATCAGTAAATAAAATAAAAAATAATATTTATTTAAAGTTATTTTTTGCATAGATTATCTTTGGATAAACGAATCTTATAATAGTGTGCCAAAACTTATAATTCGCTTAAAAAAGTTCTTCAAATATAGCGAAATACTTAAGAAACTTTGTTAACATTAAGCGATCCAAACATTCATATATATGTACACATGTTTAATGCACGTACATACGTACGTATGTATGCGCTATAATAATATTGTAAGTACGTTTGCTGCACGCATCGTACTTACGTATGTACACGCAACGTAACGTATGTACAGCGCGCACAAAATAAGATCACCCAGAATGACTTTTTTCTATAAAGATCGGATCTACACTTATTGGAACACAATCTTAATGGTTTAAGGCGGTGATCTTAATTATGCTAAATAATTAGTATGACGATATTTTAAGTTACGAAATCAAACAAAAAATAAAGTGTGTTTCGTTGAAAAAACATGCCTCCTTTTCGTAGGATTTCAATTCTTGCTTTTAAATTATATTGTTGTAATCATAATATGAAAACTATGGTTCAAATAGTTTAGGAAGGAGAGGAATCGAAAGTTTGGGTCAATCTTTAATGTCAATTTAATTCTTTGCATATTTCACGTTCAAATAAATCTAAACTTTTTACGCAAAATTATAAAATTCATTTATCCAAAAATAATTCTGTCAAAATTTTTTTAATATTTTTTTTTAATTTTAATTAATAATGGTCGAAAAGTTTCTGAATTGTTAGTATATCTTAATGCCCATTTTAAAACCGTAATTAATTTAAGGTACAGTGTGCATGCATCCCGATAAGACGTTTAGTCTGAATTTGCGCACTAGCTAGTCGGGATGGGGTTAAAATTTCGATTTATGATAACCAATCAGCCAATAATATGGTAATAATTGTGCTTATAGTGGACAGAAAGAAATTAAGACATGTATTGACATATAGCACAGAGTTCCCATTTTAAATTGAGCATTCCAGCTACAAAAGTAAAAAAAAAGAAAAAATCAAAAAAAAGTCAAATTTTCGATAGAAGATTATTTCTATAAGCAATAAATTCTACTTATAGTGATTAGAAAACGAATAAAACACATTATACATGAACGCAGGCTACATGAATATCTATATTATCCTGTCTAGAAATTAATGTGCTTAAGCTAATTGGAAAGTTATAGAAATTTAAATTACAATCTTCTAGCCTTAAATAAACTAGAAAGTGAGTTAAGAAAACATTATAAATGCTACGTTTGGCAAAACTCAGATTCATACTATAGTAATACACAGTTTAAATTTTAAAATCCTGATAAGTAGTCTGGAGCATCATAAAATTTTGGAAATTTGGAACTCCAATTTGGGAAATATAATTTTTATTTGCTGAGCTATCTTTTTATATTAATGCGAGCTTATTAATTTCAGTTAGTATTAATCTCGTTTATCAAAAGTTATGTAAAGTGTACTTCTTTTTTTTATTATTTTTTTTTTTTACAATGTGGAACTATTTACTTAAATCTATAGGCAGTTCGTACATCCAAAAAAAATAATAATAATGTAAAACAGTAATAACAATAATAAATTAAAATATTGTTAATTAAATTTAAATTATAGCTGCAGTGTTTACTTAAAATTTATTGAAATTAAGAAGACATTATAATTACCATTCAATGTCCCTTAGGTTGTGTCGTTCCAATCATAAATTTAAGTTTTAGATTCCTAAGTTAAATGTTAATATTAATTGAGATTTTTTAAAAAAAATAAATAACAATACGTAAATTAAATACTTAATAATGAAAATGAAATGCAATCAAATTGTGTACCTACTTTTTTCTTGTTACAAAGAAAAGTAAATATCTTTAACTGGAAACAATATAGCAGAATATCAATAAAACAGAAACTCCAATTTCAACTTAATCGAGGAAGCTAATTCCAAGAGTGCAAATGATCACCAGCAGTAATATTAGTGCTATGTTGCGCATGACGTAAGCAGCAGTTTTTAAGACAGCATTATGGGAGGGAAGAGGATCAGGTTTACAAGAATTTTCTTAAGTGAAATTTAGTGAGATTGTGTTTTTTTTCTTTCCTTTTATTTTTATTATTTCTAATCGAATGAGAATTTTGAAGTTTGAACATTGAGCATTGCCTCAAAGTTTCAGTACAGTAAGGCTAATAGAAGTTTTTCTAGTTCTTCAAAGAATTTTTTTTTAAATTTTATTTATTGCTTTTCCATTTTAACTTAATGTATTTTAGATGCATAGTTGTTAGCTAATACAAATAAAACGTTTAAAGAAAGAGTAGAGATTTAAAAGAATATCATCAGATTTTTTAAACGACTTGAGTAAAATTTAATTAAACAGACTTTTAGCCTCCCCCCCCCTTTAGAAAAACGTGTTTTTCTTTATATCACTTTTACATTTTTTTTTATACAAATTTTTTATTTTCAACACTGTTTTGTTGAAAATGTTCATAAGAAAATTTTTCACTCTTAAAAAACTGATGCAAATTATCAGCAATTTACGTACCTACTAACTCATAAACTTTTTAGAGAAAACATTTTACAGTAGTGAAAATTGTTTGATTGTTAGTTTGACAAATTTATTTAAAAATTATTTGTATAATCTAAGATAATAATTTCATAAATAAATAAATTTTATTCTTCAGAAATAAAATAATTAGCATTTATGACTTTTTAGTTTCAAGGTTAAATTGTAATTCAAGTTATAACAATAAAAACACTATATGAATAAAAAATAAGATATATAAACATACAGATACATCCACTAATGCACTTCATATATATTCAACTCTACCAAGTGAAATAGCGTTGAAAAATTCAACCTAATGACATTCATCAAAAAACTGCAATTGATATTATTGAAATTCTATACAGTGTGCAAAAACTAAACGGACCACCCTGAATAACTTTTGATCGAATGATCAGATCTTCACGTTCTAGGATTCAATCTAAATATTTCGAGGGGATAACTTCAAAAATGCTAATTACCTAGTGCAAACGATATTTTAAGTTACGAAATCAGGCACAAAATCCTACTTTCTCTAAATAAACAATTTTCCCCCCAACGGATTTGGATTTCTGACCCCCAAAATCTAGAGGGTAGCAGCAATCAGGGAAATATATGGTCTAAATAGTTTGGCCAGAAGAGCGGTCCAACGGTTGATCCCCATAATGCTAATTTTATTTTTTGCGTATTTCACCAAATTTCAAGAACTTTTTAAGCAAATTGAAAAGTATTTGCACACAATTATGAAATTCGTTTATCTATTATGTTATGGAAAAAGTATATTTTAGTAAATATTTTTATTATTATTTATTATTTTATTAAGTAATAGTCGGAAAAAATTTAAACTGTGAGGTATGTATTTTTTTACATCATTTTAAAATAGGTAATTTTACATGACAAAATACAAAATTTGAGCAAAATCGGTTGAATAGTTTCTGAGAAATCGAATTTTAAATACACAGGCAGGAACAATTCGACCGATTTAACTCAATTTTGTATTCTGCCATGTAAAATTACATACATTAAAATTTAATAGAAAGTTGTATGCCTTACAATTCAAAAATTTTCCAGCTATTATTTAATGACTTTATAAAAAAATAATAAATGTCTACAAAAATTATTTTTGCATGCAATTATCTTCAGATAAACGAATTTTAAAATTATGTTCAAAAATTTTTCAACTTGTTTGAAAAGATCTCGATATATGGCGAAATACGCAAAAGTAAAATTAAAATTAAGGGATTCAAACTTTGGATCGCTCTCCTGATCAAACTATGTGGACCATATTCCTCAGATTGCGGCTACTCCCTATATATTTGGGGTTAAAAATCTAAATACGTCTGAAGAAAGGTATATTTATTCAGAGAAAGTAAACTTTTGCGTCTGATTTCGTAAGTTAAAATAATGTCTGCAGTAATTAATTAGCATATTTGAGGTCATCCCTTCGAACCGTTAAGATAGAGTCATAAAACATGAAGATCCGATCATTAGATCAAAATTTATTCAGGGTGATCTGTTTCTTGTTTTGCGCACTATACACCGAGTTTTTAAATTCACTCCAAAGATATGATGAAAAAAAGTTATGGGTCTAGGCTTTGAATCTACCCAGTTTTAGAGCGGGTACCAGCTTGTCAGGGAA